TGAGTGGAATGACTTTTATACCTGTGACTAAGGCCAATTTGGCCGTGAAGAGCTCCAATTTCACTCAATCCACCGAAAACCCTAGAATGGGTGTTCTTTGATTCTCCTTTCTCGCGTTCCAACGTCCCTCCAACTAATTGGGTCTTATTCCTAGGTCCAAGGGGAGTTGATTAAGGGTGGTAATGGGTGGTGAAACTCACCGGAAAAGAGGAATCGCCGTCCAAACTCCACGGGTCACCCGCACGATTTTTACACAGTTTTGGACTTAAAACCCTTCAATCTTGGGTGAGAAAGGTAGAGGGGAGGTAGTGGAAGAGATTGTAGGTAGTAGATGGTGGTTGTTCAATGGAAAAATGGCAGGAGGAAACCGGAATTAAACCAGGTTTTGTTGAGGTTTCACAGGTCAACATGAAAGGGAAGTTCCCTCCCTCTTATTGATTCCTGATTGGTCCCCCTTCCCACTTAGTGGGAGTTCAATTTATTTAATAACTTTAGTTTAGTAACACCACTTCAAATATCCGTAACTATACCGTTATAATCCGGACTCGCAAACGGTTTTCGCCTATATGTTTGTACCAATGAGTACTACACATATGCACTAAAGGAATAAGTTTTACGTTTCTCTAGACGATACTCCACGAATGTCAAAGTTTGTGTCTCTAAGGGCATTTTCATCAATTTTGTCACAGCCCGTCCCGAGATTCTATATATCGGGGACGTGAAATGACGGAATTACCCTTGACGGGTATTAAGGTATGTGTGTGTGTGACATATTATTGGACTAAATTCATTCATTCCTAAGCTTTTGGAAAATAAATTAAGTTAGATTAAAATGTTGGGTTGTAATTTGTGTGGTTAGGGAATGATGTTGTGGTTTGTTTTTGGGTGGACCACACAACACTTACGCACGGGATATCTTTCCCTTTCCCATTCCCGTGCTCTCTCTCTCTCTCTCTCTCTCTCTCTCTCTCTCTTCTCCGTCTCAGTCACCCTCTCCCTCTCGAAATTGTACGGACGAGACCAAATACCCTTGAACTTTCACTGATCAACGCCAAAAAGGTATGGTTCTTCATCCTTTCGACCTCCTGAGTCGTTTGGTACTAGTTTTAGAACGTGAAACCTTCGAAATCACGTGAAACCCGAACCCCAGTTTTATGTCACTGTTTATGCAATCGTGATATGTTAATTTTTAGGGAATTCTAAGCTTGTAGTGAGCTTAGTGAGGTCCCAAGGAAGCTCGGAGTGCTTCGTTTGAAGGTTTTGGACGTTGGGACCATTGGGTTCGAAATTGGCCGGTTTTCTTGGAATTTCTCCGGTGAGATTTTGTAGTTTTTAGAGCCTTAAAGTAGTGTAACGTGAAACTACATGCTTAGGGCTTCATTTTGATATAAAATTCGAAGAAAATGGTTGAGAAATGACGGAGAACAAGGAGATAAAAAAATCTCCAGTTTTCCAGCCACCAGAAAAACCAGTCCGGCGAGCCCGAGGTAGGAGATGTGCGTGGGGGGCGCGTGCAACTTCAAAAAAAATTTCTAAAAATTTCTCGACGTTTGTGACGTCGAGTAGGTCGATGTGGTATATTCATATACCCAATTTGAGCACCGTATGAGAAGTTATTACCAATTGTCGGTTATGTGCTTAAATTAACGTTTTTATAGTTGTTTCGCATATAGGTGACACCTATCCCGAGGACGAGCGCATCCAAGGACGTCACGGGGGTTACGACCCATTGACTTACCAGTGAGTGGGCAGTTTTGTTTTCCGTATATACCTATATACTATTGATTTTCCCAGAAATTGAATTTATATGAAAGTATGTCTTAAATGCCATGCATGCATATTGTGAATTGTATGAGTTGATATTGATGCATATATATATATATATATATATACAGGGAGCTTAAGGGGAGGGATCCCCATTTTTTCAAAAAAAATGGGGACACGCTCCCCACCGTTAGATTGACTTTAATGAAATTGTGTGGTTGAGATTAAAACACAGGCCATAGAATCTCAACCACAGGATTTCATTTAAGTCAAATCCAACGGTGGGGAGCGTGTCCCCATTTTTTTTAAAAAATGGGGATCCCTCCCCTTAAGCAATTCCTATATATATATATATATATATATATATATATATATATATATATATATATGTGTGTGAATTGGTGCTGTGGAAGCACAGGTGAGTATCAGGTGAGTTTTATGTTATTCATGTGAATCATTGATGATGTGAATTGTGTTGAGAGCTCATAACCTACACCCTTGGTGTTAGTACTTATATTATTCACCGCACCGCACGCTCACCTTGGATCCAAGTAAGTGCATTTCGTACAGACCATGAGAGGGTTCCGACATGCTAGTCGTACAGATCACTAAAGGTGGTTCCGACTAGTAGGTGACCTTAGACTATGCGCGCAGATGATTGATGAGAGAAGCACTAGAGCGTATTCTCTTACACCTTTCTTATCGTACAGACTACTTTAGGTAGTTCCGATTTATGTGCAGAGTAGTGTCGTACATGTCACCGTGGTGACTCCGGCTGGGTTGGATATTGAGCTATGGAATTAACTGTACAGGACCAACTACAGGGTCTCCGGTTGATTCATTATGTCACCTATTTATTTTGATGCATCCATGTTCTATTTTTGACATTTATGGCATGGCATATTTCTAGATTTGTGATAGATTGATGATTTGAGATATATGAGGATTTATATACTATTATGTTATTTTCTGGGAAAGTATACAGGTTTTACAGTGAAGGGTTAGAAATGTTTTAAATGAAATGTTTGGAAAACTTTGGTTTTACTGACCCACTCAATTTTGTTTTGCGCCCCTCCAGGTTCTAGTTAGCAGTTGATGGCTCACGAGGTTTTCTTCGACGTTCTGATAGACTTCCTGCATGTAGGACTCACCTGCGGGTGTTGTAATTTAATTATAGTTCTACTTGACTGCACCTAGTATTTATGCTCTAAAATTGTGTACTGCACACTTTAACTCACTCTAGCATGCTAGTTGGATATTACTGCTAGTAGTTGATTTTTATTCCTTCGTATTTCTCATATCATTTGCTTCCGCATCGCACTTTTGGTTACGTCACACTCACGTGACGACCAGCACGTCTTGATTCTAGGATCAGGGTGTGTCAAATTCCCTCGATTAAAATAAATAAGAACGTAAAATTAGGAACGGATTGTCACACATACTCAAGAATTAAAATAGTGATGGTAGTTTATATTCAAAAAGAGAAATAATTTCCGCTCACCGTGTTCATTTTTGTCCCTTGCCAATCATAAGCAAGGGTGTGAAGTGGGAAAAGATGTGCAGAAATCACTTCCTATACAAACAATAGAACATAAACTCAACTAGTGAAATATTTCATCAACGTTGCCTCGACGAGTCTCAAACAGCTTTGATATATATCACTATAGAGAAACCATCATCACAAAGAATACGAACAAAAATTGAAAATGGTCAAGGTACAAGTTCTTAAATTCCCTCCCTCCCCCCCCCCCCCCCCCCCAATCTAAACCACCACCTTTTTTTTTTTTTCCTCAAATGATTTGGTACAAAGGGGGTAAGCTACTTGAACCTAAATTAACCATCTTTTATGCCTAAGAAATGGGAAGAAGAAAAATGAAGATCAAACCCATTTGTTACAAGGAAGATTACAGATTGTGCGTCCTTGCGGTGCAATGTACTGTTGTCCATCGAAGCTTGTAACCGAGCATGAAATCAGCCTCCATCAACGATTCTAAAAAGAGATGTTTCTGCCGATGGATCACAGATAAATTAAAGTGATGGTTCTATTTGGTGATGCTCAAGATTCCGAAGCACAATCCTAGCAAAGATTTTGGCTTCAAGAGGGGCAGTCGCTGCAGCTGCTGCAGCCCGCAGCAGGCGTGCTGCTCCTCCACTCTGCATAAGACTGGCATGGTGCATAGCATGGCGGCCACCAGGAATGGTAAACTGCAGTTGAAAGAATAACTATATAAGGATTGTTCCCGATGAATAAATAATGGATATTAAAGTTGGCACTGAACCAAAGGAAAAGTGTTTCCCGCAGGGGGAGTCTAATATGCACATTTACCTGAAGAAGAGCAAATGCAGCACATGCCTTGAGAACAGATGATGTATTCCGTAGCATGGAAACAAATCTTCCAATTTCAGCCCCACTGATAGTACAAGGAAAAGTGAAATGTTCAGATGAAAAAAATCAAATTTAAAATTTCAGCCCCGTAGACAACAATTGTTAATTCAGATTATTACTTTAGTTGAATTAAGGAATGATCCCAAGTACTAGCAGAAGATATGACATGAATTACAGTTGGCTGGAGAAAAAGATTTTCATAAGAGACGAAATGCTGTACATTCCATTTAGTAGTTAGCTAACCATGATAGCATTGGCTTCACACAACTCAAATCAATTGCAGAGAGAGAGAGAGAGAGAGAGAGAGAGAGAGAGAGAGAGAACCTGCATCTCAGATGTCCTGCTTCTTGAATACGAGCACCTTCTGTTACTTGTGCCAACGCTGCAGGGGCTGCTGATACTGAAGCAGCAGCAAACGTTTGTGGATCAGAAAAAGTGTGGACAAAGGTCTCAATGTGCTTCAGAGCCATCCTTCTAGCGCCATCTAAGCTCACACTCTTTGAGATGCTTTCCGATGAAGTCCCTATCAACGCATACTCATCCATTCTGCGGAGCATTAAGTTATTAACAACTTAACATATATATATAGCTTCTTATTACAAGCAATAGTACTATTCAAAGACTAAAGGGAGAAATGAGGGTTTTAACCCGGGACGCAGTGGGTTGAAAATGAGGGCACATAGAAGCATAAACCATCAGACTCACAAGGGCATTAAACCACATCACATACAGAACGGAATATCCCATGCATTTGACAGCATTTTGAAACAACAGAATGAGTATTACCCACACAGAAAACAGTTAGGCCTACAAGTACCTGCCATCAAACATGTATGCCAATGCCAATGCAGCCATGAAGCGAGCCATTTTTGACACTGATGAAGAACAAAGATGAACAAGTGCAGGGACACCTCCTTCCTCCACAATGCGGAGAGCATTGCCAGGGTTAAAAGCAAGATTCCACAGAGCACCAGCAGCTGTTTCATGGACATCCTGAAAGTTGAAAAAATCAAATCAAATCTTGTACCAATTATATGAGCGAAGAAAACTGAACAAAAGGATATTGTTGGGATATGAGCAGATATTTGTAAGTAAATGCACTGTACTCACTGATGCATACCCATGAAAGACTATAAAAAAGGTTGAATGACCTAAAGAGTATCCAATTAGAACATGAGTGAATTTATATGCAAGGCCATGAGAAACTATGCACTTAAAAAGATGTTACAGGTATTGACATACAAGTTCAAATATTGGATGACAGTTTTTGGACTTTTAATTACAAAAAGTTTCTTAGAATGAGAAACCATGCTGTTGTTCAACAAAAACAACAACAAAGCTTTATCCCACTAAGTGGGGTCGGATGTATGAATCTTAGAACGCCACTACTTCAAGTGCTCCATATCTTTTCTTAAAAAGTCTCTTTACTATTCTTCCTAGGTCTTCCTCTACCCTTTTGCCCTAAACCTCTATCTCATAATCGCATTTTCTAGGTCTTCTGTTCGCATGTCCTAACCACCTTAACTGATTTCTCTCATCTTATCTTCAATTGCGGCCACTCTTACTTTACCTCGGATATCCTCGTTCTTAATCATTCCCTTTCTCGTGTGCCCACACATCCAACAAAGCCTTCTCATATCCACTAATTTTTTGCACGTGGTGATACTTGACCACCCAAAATTCCGTGTCATAAAGCATTGCTAGCCTTATTGACATCCTATAAATTTTTCCCTTGAGCTTTAGTGGCATACAATGATCACACAACACATCGGATGCACTCTTCCATTTCACCCATCCAACTTGTATTCTATGGTTATGAGAACACTCTTTGGTACTTCTTGATCTCCAATCCTCACCGCTATATTCTTTGGACCCCCTTGTTCAACATCAATGTTTTAAAGAACTCGCCTAGGGCTCCCTTGACGCTGGGCGGTGAGGCAAACGCCTCTGTTTTGCTGGAGTAGGCGAAATGCTTCGCCGGAGGCTCGCCTCAAGGTGTCGCCTTGTCTGCCCCTGAATTTTTATTTTTTTTTATTTTTTTTTAAAACCATCCAAACACAAAACGACGCCGTATGGGTAAGGATTTTCAGTTTTAAACATCCTCTTCATACCATACCTTCGATCGCCTTTGTCTGCCTCTGCCTTCTTTGCCTTCTTGCTTCTTCTCCCGCGCGCCAGAAGCCCAGAACAGCGAACACAGCCGCCGCTTGGAGCAGCACCGTCGCCACGCCGCCATCACCCCACCACCATCACCCCAGCACCGTCAGCAATATCCCAAAGGTTAGGGTTTCTGAAATTCTGAAAAAGTTAGGGATTTAGTTTTCTGGGGAAGGTTTTCTGGGGAAGAGCTCTGCCTCTGCGTGCTGCCTTGTTTGTAGAAATGTTTGAACAGTTGGTATTAGATAGAAAACAGAAGGTGTAGATAAGGGGATAATAGTGGAAGGTGCTAGTAGGTCAGAAAGTGTAGAGGGGTTAATAGACAGAAAAGTATCTCTGTTTGTATTTTGATTTATATGAAGAGGATTTGGATGAATGATTGTTTTCTTTGTTTGTATTACCTTTTGAATGATGAATTTGGGTGATATTACCTTTAAATGATGAATTTAGATGATATTATCTTTTGAATGACTATGGATTTGAATGAATAATTGAGAATGGATGTTTATTTCACATAGTATTTTTTTTATACAATTATAGTATTATATATAAAACATATATATATAAAAAAAAAATTAATCCCGTAAGGCTTCGCCTCACGCCTAGGCCGGGCTTCGCCTCGGACGCCTCGCCCACGCCTCACGCTTTTAATACATTGTTCATCATCAAACATAAACCAAAACCAAACAGCTAATATGGGATGTAGAGGTCTTATCTTCAATTCCACAATTATTTGTTAACATTACCATACAGATTGTCAGCTATTATTTACTGAAAAACAGGGATACACGAAAATACTCAAACACTAATCATTTCAGACTTAACTTCAAAATGAATCATGGCTGTATCAGATTTCACTCCTATTTTTCTTTTTAGACAACAATTATGCCCAAAAATTGATTACAGAATTCCAGTGCCTAGGTCAATGCAGTGATCCGCAACATTGTAATAGTATTAAACCAATTTCTGAAACAATCTATGTGTATGACAGCTAATACCAAATTTATTTAAATAATAGTGCTTGATTTTCTCTTACTGACCATGGAACATGGAACATTTTGAATAATAATTGAATAATAAAGGAATACTTACTGCAGCTTCAGAGCGTGCCAACGCAATCAAAGGCACAACACCTCCTTCCCGTCCAATGGCAATGCTAACAACCAACAAAAGGTGATAAAATCAATAACGACAGCATGAAACAAAAAATCATCTCAATACTCATTCAAAGAACATGGGAGTATTCTAGATAGAAGAGTATGATAGATTTCAAGAAATAACAATGCGACCGGAGAAAAAGGAAATCTTGCAGATCACCAGTCATTTGATCGGTTCATAATATGCATAAACTGATTGATATTCTTTAAAAGCACAGAATTGATTAATTTTGGAAGTTGCATCCTAAATAATCGTAGAGATTATTGGACTAACATTCCAGCGTAAAAATTAGGGAATTGTTATTGGCACTCCAAAAATCTAATTGTGCACTTTTCATAAGAGTATTTTCTTTCTAAATGCAGAAAGTTTGGAGTGCACAATTAGATTTTTGGAGTGCCAATAATAGTTACCAAAACTTATTCCACAAAAACCATGACAAACAAGTAAAATAATTGTAGGCATTGACTATATAATTTTATAACTTTAGGTTGAAAAGTTTTGTACCTTTATGCGCAAGCGGAAGCGAATTCTAACAAAAGTACCAAATATCAACATCGTAGGCGAAAGCTAAAAACAAACAATTTCAAAAAAACACGAGATCTATGTGGTTCGGCGTAAAGCCTACATCCACGGGCAAAGCACAGCGAGAAATTTCACTAAACAAACCGAGATTACGTAAGAGTTTTTAACTCTCACAAATGGAGTGGTGTCTCCCAAATTGCTCTCTAACCCTCAAACTCACAAATTGACTCTCACCAAATTTTCCAAACGAATGAGCCATGAATTTGCCACACACTCATGACTCCAAACGGTGACCTCCACCCAAAACCAAAATAGAGAAAAGCTCTCTAAACCATGATGAGGCACACTAAATAAACTTACCCTAAGGTTCTATTTATAGTGCATAGGACTTAGATTACAATGAGAATCCTAATCCTAATTGGAAGTAAATCCAAATCCTAATCAAACAGGTAATTAACAAATCTCTCCAGCAAGCAAGGAATCCAACCAAGAAGTCGAATCCAAACCCAAATAGGACACCAAAAAGAAATAGGTAACACAAACCTAATTTCTTCATCATCGTAATTTTGCGCCGTAAATCACAACAATTAAGTACTTTAGCTGGAATCTGCTTCTGAGAACAGGAAGACTTCAATATTTTGCCCACAGATTTGCTACTTCCTTGTGATTTTCATGTAAATTACAGTTCAATCTTATCAACCAAGGAAATAAGGAGAAATTCCATTGTTAAAACGTCTTAAGAAGTTAAGGTGGAAAGTCCTTTTTATTAGAAGTTGCACACAAAATGAACAGAAATATCAAATATCTAATAACAAAGTTACCCTATGGTTAGAAATAAAAGAACAGCGAAAAACATGTAAAACTTTCTAAACCTAACCCAATCCTATTTTATGACCCAGTATTACACTCACAAACTCAGACACCTTAAATATAAGAATCGCACTATATAGCACAATGTCCATACCAGAGCCGTGACTTAACAGGAATTTCCGCAAACAAGTCATGGAATGTCTTTGAATCTTTAAGAAATGAAAAGGGGAAAATGCAATGCCATGCAACACAATTAAGCTGGAAAATGCAAACGTGAAGGTTTATGAAATGAAAGGGGAAAAAAGAACAAAACATGAAACAAAGTAATTGCATGCCCATGAAATATAAAATATAGCTTTGTCTATAATAGGTTATCAGTTAATTAAACATATTTAAGATTTGGCAGAGCAGGAAATTACGATAGATGCCAATATGTCATTGTACAACTAATATATATTCTCCAGAAATGACTTCTAATTGATCACCCAGTGTCTGGCTACAATTGTAACCACATAAAAAAATTATTAAAATTACATTGATAGAACAGGAACTTGCTGAATCTTAGTCTTTACTACATAAAATCTGTAGTTTATATGATATTCAAACTCGTAAAAATTCTATCATATATAAACAGATAAGAATCTCAAACCACCCATGCATCTTTTTCTTCTTTTATTTCCTTCCTTTTTCTTTTATGATAAGCATAACTTGTTTTGCATCAGAATTTTAACTTATCGTCATTATCTAGTCAAATCAATAAGAAACCTGACTGCGACCAGGTATTCCATAAGGTTTACTTCCATAAACTAAAACAAAGAATGAACGATATCTCCAACAAGACATACATCATCAGTCCAAACTATTTGACTCATATTAGTTTGAACTAGCTTAATTTTGGTGTGTCATCAAGAGCAAGCATATACCTATTGGCTTCTGATACCGACAATCCCCAAAGAGCACCAGCAGCCCTTTCTTGAAGACCTGGGGAGGCATTTGAGCAGCCTTGTGCGAGAGCAACCTACATACCCAATGAGGTAGGTTAAACATACAGTGCAACTTTATCGCGTACAATTATAAAATCTATTTTAGCAAGTGGGAACACTAAAGCTTAAAAAGAACAACAATGTTAAAGTATCACTATTACAGCTCAAATGATAAACTGTAAGAATGTTCTAATACTTTTAAACAATAAAAATTTCCATACTCAACACAACATCCACATTATTTTTTTCTTCACAAAACAGGCAGAAGCAAAAGGACCCATATTATACTTTCGAATTCAAATTGTAACAAAGAAAATTAAAAAAAAAAAAAAAAAAAAACTAAAACTAACAGTACAAAAAAAAATATTTATGTTAGAAGGTTTTTTCCGTTCCTCAACTTCAATATGTGTGAGTCCGATATCGAAATGCCATTAAAATCATGACCAAAAATCTTGATGAAGATATGAAATGGTTCTCATAAAAGGAAGCTTCGAAACCATCTGTTTCTATTAATTTGCTTTGATTTTTTTGTAGATCCAGACAAGTAGCAAGTTTTGGTCACCCTAAAATGTGATATAGCATTTGATAAAAACTTTTTTCATAATAGTGTAGCAATTATTACAGGGTAATAAATAGTAAATAAAATGTCCAACTCCAAGCAATACTTATACAAAACACTTTCTTTATTTTAGGGATTTGAATGAGAAGCTAACATGGATTCTGTTGACATCATAGGGTTGTGATTATTCAAGGTAAATATCATACCAAGGCCTCAACGCCGCCGGCTGCAGCAATTGCTTCTCGATTTCTGTCATCAAATGATAGATTCCACAATGCACCAGCCGCCTCTTGCCTGTTCAAAGTAAAATAAGGTATAGTTTTACATTGGTTGTATAGACAGAAGTTGATAATCAACAACTTTTTTCTTTTCTTTTTTTTTTGTTTTTTTTTTTTTTGAGAAGAAACAATGATAACCAACAACTAATGAGTGAACTAGAATTCCAATAAGTCTTTTATGCAATTACCTCAGCTTTAAGACAGCAATATTTTAATTAGTCTGGACAGAATTAGAGCATCTAACCCAAACGGTCATGAGTTGACGAGGGCCAATACATTTATATTGAAACACAAGGCTTCCAGATGTGGGTTATAATCTCAACGTGCACCCTCAGTGTGGCACCAACAGTGTAGATAACTTATATTGGGTTCCCCCACTCTGATACCATGCAAAAGTTACGGCATCCAACTCAAAACGAATGGTCATGAGTGAAACGGCCCTTCACATTGCATAAAGTAATGCAATGCTTTGCATTCCTGAAGTGAGATATACTCTCAACAAGCTTAAAGCTTAAGAACCACACCCATCAATGAACATTCCTAAACAACTGAAAATTTCTTATCACTTTTAATTCCATAAGCGAGATTCTGTTTCATTTTTATTGTGGTGATTGGTGAAGGGGAAAGAGGCGGTGGAAGTATCTTGTTCCTTTGATGCACATATAAAATAAAAATTATTTAAAGAATAAAAAGTTTGCTTGAAAGAAAATATATGTAGATGACAAAATAATATCAGACTGATAGAAAACTTTTAATCAAGACTCAAGAATTGCTTAAAGAATAATGCAAAGAGAGGATCCAGAGTAAACTACCTGACACCTTCATGAGGAGATTGTGTAAGCTGAACAAGAGCATCAAGAGCACCTGCCTCTTGTCCAACTGCTGCATTGTTACTATTACTGTCTCCATGAGCAGCCAAATTTGCCAAGGCACGGGCAGCCTGGTATAAGAAGTACATTAAATAATTTGCAAAAAAGAAATACACAATGAACACATACAAGTGCATATAAGAGAGAGAGAGAGAATCAGAGAACCAATGAAAGATGCACAACTGACCCACTAGAAAAGCCACTAGAAGAACCAGATACAATATAGAATAAGGAAAACTTCTCAACAATTTAATGCTACACTGTGTGCCATAAATTGGCACTTAGATACAGTGGTACACCATATGAACCTAAGACCTAGGCAGGATTTGCAGAACCATCACAAACAGTGTGAAATTTTCTATAAAGAAAGGACACACCAATCACCACAAGCTGAATCTTGATGTGGTGGGTGTCAAGATCAAAACCACAAACATCAAAACCAGCTTTTAAGATTTCTTGGAACTAAGCTTTTTCTAAAGTTTCAACCATCTGTAGCCATAGGAAAAGTTGTACACTTGAAGTGTGTTTTTGTTCAGTTGTCAGGTAGAGCTTAACAATAGCAACAAAAAGTTTTATTACCTGCTCTTGCACCCCCTCAAACTTGCAGTTACGAGCAAGCATCACTAAAGCATGCACACCACCTGCCAATGCAACCTCTGTGCTACACTTGTCATCAGCAGCCAAATTTGCTAGTGCACCAGCCGCCCGTTCCTGAAATGAGACGTGGAAAGCAAGGCACAACTTAAACCACCATGCCACAGCAACCCCAAGTGTATTGCATAACACATAAGCATCATACGTAAAGAGAAAAATACATGAAAAAAGGTAATGTACCAGAACTCCATCACCACCAGATGACCATTTAAAAATAAGATCAACTAGGGCTTTCACTCCACCGGCCTCAGCAATGGCACCCTGACCAGAAAAACCTTATTAATTACAAGTGAAATTTTAGGGCATATGTAGGTGATAAGACAATAGATAGTAGACTATCAGACCTTGTGCTCTTCTCCAACAGAAAGATTCCATAGTCCTCCAGCCGCCTCTTCAGCAACCAGCCTGTTCATAGACCTTGCCAAACCAGCGAGAATATTGATCCCCCCTTCCTCAGCAACAGCTTTAGCAACATTGGCATTCACAGACAAGTTTGCTATAGCCTATTCAAGTAATGAACATGAAAAGGAACTAGTCAGCCTAATTCCACATCTATATGCACGATAATCATGAATCTGTGTATCACCAAATAACCAATTCCTACACTATAGACCATATAGTACAACAATTAGTCAAAATGGCAGATAGTCATAATAGCACGAGAAAATATATATGTATATATATATATATACACACATACCTTTGCAGCCTCGGATTGGAGCCCTTCTCGCCAAGATTTTGCTAGGTTTAAGAGAAGACGTATGCCCCCATCTCGCATAACAGCTTCAGCCCTCCCACAATCTATGCTAGCATTTTCATCATCAATAACAACAAAAGTTGCAAGTCCTGTAGCTGCCCTTTCTTGAACATCCTCTTGTGAGCTCTGCATTAAATTGAGCAACAAAGATGCACCTTGCTTGAGCCAAAAAACATCTAAACCTTGTTGATTGCTCTCAGCAATCCGCAAAAGAGAATGAGAGAGAATCCATTCAATCCAAGTCATAATGTCGTTCAAGTTTTTATCCTTCTTTGAATTCCTCCAATCCAGAAGCACGTTCTTTCCTTTCTTCATAATGTCGACTAATAAAAACGCTATTTCTTTCATAATATCTGTAAAAAGGGCAAGTAACATTTTATTTTTATATTTACGAGGAGCAAAGTTGCTGTCTTCTTCAAGCACGGGACAATTTAAGGCACATAAAACCTTCAAGCTGTGTGATGATGATAACAACCGTGAAACAGCAGCAGAACCAATATCAGTTCTTGAAACATCTAACCCAATCAAGTTAGGCAACTTATGCCAAAGATGTGAAACCACGCCCCATTTCATGGTGGAGGTCCCAGCAACAGAGAGGAAACAAACTGAAAAAACATTTCCCAGTGCCATCTCATCAATGTTCAGACAGTCTATGAACCCGATATCAGTCAAATTTGGACAATGCTTAGATAAAGCATTAATAGCATCAGCTTGCACATCCCTAATTCCGGAAAGTCGAAGCTTTTTCAATTTAGGACAGCAAAGAGCTATTGCTTTTATAGCATCACTGCTGATCCTTTCACAGAAATCTGGCCCAAGCTGGAGGCTTTCAAGTGACTCATGCCGAGCCACGATCACAGATAGGGTAGCATCAGTTATTTTTCTACAGTAATCACCACTTATTTCACTTAAATTCTTTGCCCGGAGATGCAATATTGCATCAGCAGATTCTGCCCCGCGAAACCTAAGCTTCTGAAGATTTACACATCTTGAAGCAAGTGAAGATGCCATGGTATCATTGCATTTGTGTGCACGAAGATCCAAAGAGGTCCACAAACACGGCGAAATTCCAAGAACCCTCCATGTCTTGCAAGTTGATGATAAGCTTGCCCGGTCACGATAATTCAAACACGAAAACAACTGAATGACAGTATCATCTGGCAAACCAGTCCAATCAACAAGCCCATTTTGCATTGGATATGAAACTTCATCTTCAATTTCTGGATAACTAGGCAAAACCACCTTCTCCTTCCCCTTCCTAGCCACCTTCCGCCGGACCCTACGACTCATATCTTAATCAATATACAGATGACCCAGAAACCGATAGTCCAAAACCATTCAACTTCACAATACCCAAATCTTATTACCACTGAAGAACAACGCACAGACCCATAAACATGTAACCTTTAAGCTCAAATCCCAAGTTCTAGAACCAGTAAAAAGGAACACAACAAACCCAAAAACCAAAACTGTTCCACCTCAAAAACCCTAATGCCCAGACAAAGAAACGAATTGTATATATACCAAAGAGAATTAAAGGTTCACAATATACAGCAATCAAAGTCTACCGATTTCAAATACCCAATTGAATCCGGCATCCGAAATGCAACACAGAGGAGGAAATTACTCGTTATTTTCAAACCTGCGAGCTGATGCTATTTGGGTTTGTCAGGACACCCTAAAATCTTCAAGCTTTCGCAAGTAAATCAAGCGCCTGTAACAGATTGTGTTGCAGGAAGCTGCAAATCGATGAGGGAGTGATGGGGGAGAGAGAGGAGACAAAGCTTAAGGAAGGGTTGGAGAGAATTCAGGTGTGTTTTGACGAAAGAGGAGGGGAGCAAAAAAGCCAAACCCTCAGAGAAACTAGGCTTTTTGTTCTTGGTTTGTGCACCAAATTAGAGAGAGAGAGAGGGAGAGGGAGAGAGAGAGAGAGAGAGATGTGTTGTGTGGAGATATGGGGATAAAAGGAGAAGAAATACAGCATTGAGGTGTGAGGAGCCAGAGAAGAAGAATGGTGGTGAAAACTACATAAGCTAGCTCATCAAGGAGCATCAAAAATCTTCATTATATAGTCTGCATATTTTTGGTGGTTTTGGCAAAACAAAACAATTTTTGGTTTATTTAATTGTTGGGCTATTAATAATTGTATAAAGCTTGTACTTCACATCTTGTATTTCTTACTGGAAAAATCCAAAATCTTATATTCAATTACTATATGCAATACTAAAATATGTGATTTTTTTTTTATAGAAAAAGAAAACATTATAGCGAAAAACCTCTTACACAGCCAGCACTAATACAGTCAAATTGAAAAGCTAAGTGAACATCCACAGGGAGACAAGCATCCCAAATACAAAGATTCGAACTATTAAGACCAATAGATGCCAAAGCATCCGCTATGAAGTTTGTCTCCCTGAAGATGTGGCTATCTAATGTCCTAAAAGTTGTTGGCACACCACCTGATGTCCTCAATAATAGGTTTTAGGTTCCAGGGCACATCACAAGCTCCACAAATAGCATCCAAGACAAGCTTTGAGTCGCCTTCCACCAAGACATGTTTCCAATTCCTTCTCTTTGCCCAAATCAGCGCTTCACAGAGAGCTAAAGCCTCGGCAACATTGATGCTCATAGAGCCAAATTTCATCGCACTAGCAAGGATAGGTTTACTATCCCAATTCCTAACCACGAACCCTCCAGTAGCCAAAGAGTGAGAAATAGATCCATCAAAGTTTATTTTAACATAATTAGGTGGAGGGTGCTGCCACTTAATCAAATTATCTTGACAACCAACCTCAAGGTGCTTTTCATGACTAGTATTCTCTTTAAAGTACTCTTTAGCCGTTGTGAAGGGGCGAATAACAGACCAATACAGTTTAGGATTCTCATTTTTTAATATACTTGCATTTCTATCATTCCAGATTTGCCAACAAATGGACAAGCTTTACTTAAACAGCTAACTTCAATTTTCCCATCACGTGGCAAAGTACTTAGCCACTCATTTACCTTAGGATTATTTGCAATATTGCAAAAATAAGGTTCATTCAAACAGGTCCAGACTTGCACAGTGTACTGGCAGTGAAGAAAAAGATGGTCCTGGTCTTCCTCATGATTATGGCACATTGGGCATTGATTAGTTACATTGGGTAAAAACTTGCTGAGATGTTTACTGGTTTGTAGCCTTCCTTTGACAAGAGTCCAGGCAAATAATTTAACCTTAGGAGGCAGAGTCTGCTTCCAAATCCTATTAATCAGCATTTGTGTTGGGGATGTATTTAAATTCTCAACTTGGACCCAAGTCACGGATTTCACTTAAAACTTTCCATTAGGATTAGGACCCTAAATAGCAGAGTCAGAGGTACTATTAATAGGAAGAGGAATGTCACAAATCTTATTAACAATATTAGTATCTATAACATTCTCAAGCTTGTTTCTATCCCACTGACCATTAACTATAAACTCAACAACTTTTATATCCCACTTAAAACAATGGAATTGGTTTTTTGGTATAAGATGAAAAATGGGGTGAGGAAAAACCCAGTTGTGGGTCCAAAACAAGATGTCCTTGCCATCACCGACCACCCATTGCATACCCTTTGAAATTATATCCCTTGATCCCAGTATTCATTTCCAAGCAACCGAATGATGTTGCATTACTTTACTATCCAAAAAGTTCTCATTCCTAAGGTATTTCCTTCTAACTATATTTGCCCACCAGTTATCCTTATCAAATAAAACTTTCCATCCCAACTTAGCAAGGCAAGCTCTATTGAAGTGATCAATGTTTTTAATACCTAAGCCACATGCTTGTTTAGGTCTACAGACTTCCTTCCAACTTGCTGGATTGCACTTGTGGGTATTACCCCAGAAAAATTGTCTGGAGTATTTATTTAGTTGATTAGTTAACTTCTTAGGGCACTTGAAACAAGACATTATATGATTAGGCATACCTGAGAGGTTCGCTTGAACAAGAGTGAGCCTACTCGCCTTAGATAGAGAATTAGTCTTCCAACCCACTAATTTATGCTTCACTCTTCTAATCAGCTCAATTCCATTCAAAGGATCCTTCTAAAAAACAATGTAATGAATTCCAATACTTTTAACAGCATTCCAGATCTCACTATACGTGGGAATAACAGTTAGTTTACTATTTTGTTCACTTGTTATACAGGGTTCAATGATGTGGGTAATCAACTTAATTTGGTCAATGGAGGGATTTTGCCTTCATGCAAATCTCATTTTAAATTCATTAACAAAAACCTGCTCCATCCCCTCTACTTTAGACCACCAAAATCCATTGTCATCTAGAATTTTGTTGATTTCATTCCCTTTTTTCCTTATCGTTGCACTCAATTGAAAGAACCTTGTATTTTTGTTACCATTTTTAAGCCAGTTGGCTTTAGCTTTTTGAGCCCACATTACTTCTTCCTCCTTGAGAACCCAAGAGAGTTGATCATTTATTTGCACTTCTAATTGAATTTTATCCTATAGAGTATTATAAACATTAGCATTGATATTCAATGACATAATTTCCTGTTGGATTTTGCTAAGATCATTGAGGAGCTTCTGTTTTCTTTCTTTAACTGACCCAAACACCACATGATTCCAATTTCTCACAAGGAAAGAAAACTTACCTAAACAACCCCTAAAATAGTTCATTAGGGATAATCTCTCATCGTAGCTCCAAGTCTCCTTCACAACATTTTAAAATCTGTATGTAAATTCCACATAGCTTCAAACTTAAAGGTCTTCCTTCTCTGACTAACATGAGGTTCGACCGTATCCAAGAAAATAGGACTATGGTCAGAACCCAGAATAGGATAGTTATGAAGGAAATAGTTAGGATACGCTTCAAGCTAGTAGGAGTTTGCTACTACTTTATCAAGTCTCTCAAAAATGAGATTTTCATCTTTATGGTTGTTAGTCCAAGTAAAAGGAACCCTAGATGCATGTAAGGAAATAAGACCAATTTTGTTCAAAAAATGCACAAAATTTGTCATATAGCAATTGTTATTTCAATTGCCCCTCCCCCCCCCCCCCACCAAACTTTTCTTGAGTGTTTATGATACAGCTAAAATCCCGTACCATCATCCAAGGCTTATGACCAGGGTTGAGGGTAAGTAACTCCTACCACATACTCTATTGAAGGGTTTTCTAAGGGTAAACGTAAACAAAAGTAGTAAAAAATTCAACATTCAGCCCCACATCCCTAATAGAAGCATGAATAAAACGCGAAGAAGCAGATATAACATTAACATCTAACATGCCAAAGTTCCAACATAGAAATACTCCTCGGACCTCCCCTCAGGGTTACATCCAAAAAACTAATCAAAATGTCTCACAAAATAACTAGTAGGGGCTTTCTCCACAGCGGACTTGGTTTGTTGTTTATGTGCATAAATAGAGTGTTAGATACTAAACATGAGTTTTCTCATGAAAACAAATGCATTTGAACTCTTTTTTATGTGTGTGTAATGTTTATATCAAATTTTCATTCCCTCTCTGCCTCTTCTTTGTTTCCAAAATGTGGATGAATATTTTTTTTTATGAGGGATGGAATCAATTATGCAATATTTGTTGACAAAACTAGTTTTAATGCATCAATTAGGGGAAAAATAACTAATTTGGTTGAACTAATTTTTCTGTCAAAGTAATAGTTATGAATAGTAATCAACTTCGAGGTTTATAGGATCATAGGGCGGAACCTATTATGTGACGCATAATATATGATAATCTTCACATCTCTAACGCATTACAAACTAGTGACAATGTACATATATCTTGTAGGAACATATATGAGTGGGGTGTACATCGCTTATACATTGTTGGTAAGTCTTGCTTGCTTTTACATTTTCCGTTCATATAACTTTTTATTTAGATTGTATATCATAGTTCTTGTTTTGATTTTAAAGGAGGGATTTTGCTTGATGAGGGATTTTCCCATTAGCAAAATTCATGTGTTGTTCCATGTGAAAGTTAAACTAATTGAAAATGGTGAAAAATCCATTTGTTGACATGTGTACACACATAGTGTTACAATTTTGGAGGAGGTTATAAGCACTACTTCCCTTCTCTGCGAGTATAAATTTTTCTTTTAAAAAATTCCTATATTCTTTGTATGCATGTTCGGCAATAGCAAGCGTCATATTGTGGAGTAAGTGCATTTTATCCTGATCTTCATCTCAAAAAATAAAAGTACCCTACGTGACACACCCCGACCGAGATCAAGGCATGCTGGTCGTCACGTGAGAGTGATGTAGCCATGTGCACAGTGCGGAAGCAATAAAGATAAGAATTATACGAATAATTAAAAAACCGAATTACTAGAGTGCACTACTAAACAGGAAGTGATAGGAGTTAGTTACAACAGTAAACACTCCTAAGCATAGCATATTAAGTCTAGGTGCAGTCCAGTAGGACAAGTATTAATTATATAGTACTAGGAATGTCCTACTATTATTGAGATAGGTCAGAACCACCGACGTCCTCAAGCCACCAACAACAAGCTTACTTAAAACCTGAAGAGGCGAAAACAGAAAACGTGAGTGGGCAAAAACAAATGTTTTACAAAATAATTTTCTTTATCAACATATCTAACCCCTCGTTGTAAAACATGTATAATTTTTCCCAGAATCAAGATATAAGCATATACATAATATATACATATATATATATATATCTCTGAAATCATAACAATTTAAATCATGCTTCACATAATCATATTCATATGTATGCCATGCCAAAATATAACAAAGTAAACAATCCAGGTAAGAATGATTTCATAGAAATATGATATGATAGCCGAAACCCATGTGGTAGTCTGTACGGCTGAATTCATAGCTCAAAAGTTAATCTAGCCGGAGCCACTACAATGACGTATACGACAATATACTGCACATAAGTCAGAACCACTAAAAAGGGGTATGTACGACAAGATTGGGTGTAATATAATTATGCTCAATTATATTCTCTCATAAAGCCGGGCGATAAATCGCTAGTCACTTACGAGTCGGAACCATAAATAAGGTCTGTACGATAAGACTGTGC